GGGGGGGGGGTGTTTAGATTAGTTTGGAAATTTTTGTAACCTCCAATTCCCATTTTCGTAAGTGTAGCATTGCCGTTTTCACGGACCCTCTCTACCGAACTCTTTGTCCCTCCAATTCCCATCCAGAGTTCGACAGGCAATGCCGTAGGACAAAAATCTGCTCGTATGTTTAGCATCACAGGTCGGCCAATCGACCGATCGTTCCAGTGATTTGATTCACGGATGGAAAATGTTGCCCGGCTGGCCAAGCAGCTACGTCCTCGCCGGTCTTGCCATGGGCCCATGCGATCGTGTATCATCACCTACCCTTATCTCTTCAAGCGCGACCCAAACCACTCGTTTTTCTTCTTTCTCCTCCCATCTCACCTCTTCCCCCTATGGCCCTATCCCCTCCGTACTCTCCGTGCGCGCAAGCCTGTTTCCAGCCGCCGTGAGCCCCTCAATCGCCATGCGCGGCTGGCACACGTCGGTGCTGCAACCATGGCCTTGCGACGCTGCCGGTCACCAATGTGATGCATTGGGTGTTGCAACTGGCTATGATGGAGCTGCGGCCGGCACAAGGCGGAGCGGCAACTAGCAGCGCTAGATTGTCAGTTGCTATAGTCGGCGCCCTTTTTTGCTAGAACCATAGAAAGCCGGGGTTGCAACCGGTGTGTAGCATAGCTGCAACCAGCGCCACCAAATGCTAGGACCAACGTCGATTTTTGCTGGAACAAGGCCGACGCACGGAGAAGCTGCAACACCGCCAAATGTCACGACGGACGTCCTAGAAAGCTACAACCGGCGAGTGAAAAAGGTTCAACCCAAGACAAGAGAAGCTAGGGGCTTGCCATCGCGTAACCAGGAAAAAAAGCTGCAATTGCCGGCCGGGAAAGCTACAATGGCGATGTGAACATCTTCAACAAGCTTGCTGAGGTAAGGACGGTGGACAAAGTGCTACAACCAGCATGCGGCGTGCTGCGATGGTGGGCACCGGGTGTTGCTACGAGGACCAGCACATATGCATGGAGGTGTCAATGACGATGGTGCACGGACTAGCGGGGGATTGTGAGGGTGGCAACCGCCGATGCTTCGTTGTCGGTCGCCTTGCGCATCCATGTTGGGGGTTGGCGGCGCTCGCCGTCGCTCTCCCCCATGCGCGATTGGTATGATTTTTGCGGAAAAAGCAACACAACAATGAGGGGACGAAGTAGAGGCCAAATCTGGCGGTTGGAGACAACATTTGACACGTACAGGATGCGAACGGTGGGGGGACTGGCGCTAGTCGACGTGCGCCTAGCACCGCCCTTTACGAATTTCCACACAGTCCCCGCACATGTCGCCGCCGTCGTGCTCCTCCACTACTACATGGACTGCTACCACTACCATAAAATATAAAATTCCTATGAAACTTCTCCTTCACTATCTTGTCTTCGCCTCCGACTCCTACCACAAAATCCCAAAACACTGATATGTCAAATCATGGTTTTTTTATCACAATTAACTTTTCTGGGTAGAGGCTAGAAAACAAAGTTTTCGTCAAATCTTGGGAATTCTGGATCTTTTGGACCATCACTATTTGGATGAATTTTGAATTCCAACATAATTATTTTTTCTACAATTAATCAGCAAATGTGTCGTTTTGTAGTGGTAATCACTCTCTTTTCTGAAGATGCGGGTTCGAATCCACCAGCTACTAAAAAATAATGTGGGAAAGTGGGGACCGAACGCATAACATCGTGGAACTTGAGTTAGGGCATCTCTAAAGCGAACCCTCAAAGCTCCGGTATACGTCCGGAGCACTTTTGCTAACTTTTGTCATTGGAGACCCTTAAACGTCCAAAGACTAGTCCCGATCTTCGTTTTCCGGCAAATCCAAAACAAACTTGGAGGAGCTATGTGTCTTGTTTTAGTGGCCATCACTCTCTTTTCTGAAGGTGATGGCTTGAATCGACCCACTACTAAGAAACTCAGAACTTCGTGGAGCTTGAGCTAGCTCCGTTTGGCCACGCCAGGTAGTGGCACAAGAAGAAAGAGAACACATAATACTAATTTACTGGGAACCCTAGAATATAAAATGTTAATGGAAAAGGGTTGACTTATTTATCACAAACCCCCTAGAATTTTACAATTCAAAAAATGGGGGTCAGTTTTTACAAGTCCCGGACATTTTCTTGATTCACGAGGAAGAAGGAGTATTGGTCAGTGACCGGAGATTTGAGTAGTATAGCAATGGCATAACTCAGATGTTGCAAGAGACAAATAATAAATCTTAAAAATGAAAATATGTTAGCAGGAATATAATAGTGGTCATTTCCTTTTTGTTTTAGACGGTTTCTAACCAATTTGTGTGGTGAGTGATTTCATAGGATTTCGAACCTGACATAGTGTTTGTTACTTCCTTTCATCAAACCCATCAAAACCAGTACCAACAAGGAATTCTAAAAGAAGATCATATCATCATCTTGTAGGCACAAGAATATCATGGAGTGGTGAGTAAAATGCATCATAAGTCTTAAAACTATGGGAGGTATGCCAGTTTAGTCCTACTACTTAGAAAATGTAGTTTTAGGTCCTAAAATTATTGGTGGAGTGTTAGTTTAGTCCTATGACTTTGATACTGCAGTTTTAGGTCCTAAAACTATTGGAGGTGTGTTAGTTTAGTCCTATAACTTCGAAATTACACGGCCATCAGTGTGTTTTCACAGATCATAATATCTTGATTCATAATGTTTTGACAATTTACAACCTTTCATCTTCTTTATAATTTACTCCTTACCTTTGATACACTGAACAGAAGCTGCTAGCAACCTTTCAACTTGTAGCATCGTCAACTCATTTTGACGCTCTTCATGATCTATGATACTACTTATGTTCCCACTCCGATCTTCAATTATTCACCCATCACAATCTAAGAGGCTCAAAATTATAGTTTACACTCATTTGTACAAAAAGGGCACCATCAGGGCTCTACAAACTATCAAAATACAAGGGTACATATTTTGGTAGAAGCTTGCGAAAGCCACCTTAGATGACTCATGTCACGTCTTAGGCCTCATAGCCACTTGTGTTGGTTGCTCCTCCACTCGGCAAGACCGGCCCACACGGGGATTGATGTCCTACAAGTGCATAGGGCTATATAGCATAATTCATGATAAGTAAGTGTCAAACCCATAGGGAAGAAAGGATGACACCACCAGCCCCACAACTATATATGTTGTCACCTACATAGCTACGTTTGCACCAAACATAGTTTGGAAATTATTTTATTCTATCGGTTGCTAGGAAGGTAGAAATAAAAAAAGGAGTTAACTAAACTACGAGCGAGAAGGTAAAAGAATAAATAAAATGTTCTAGGTTAGTAGGAATGACGCTTGAGTAATAAAGTGTTCTCAAGGGGGTTCGGAGTCATCACTTCCAGTGTGATCTAGGAAGGTAGAAACAAAAAAGGGAGTTAACTAAACTACGAGCGAGAAGGTAAAAGAATAAATAAAATGTTCTAGGTTATTAGGAATGACGCTTGAGTAATAAAGTGTTCTCAAGGGGGTTCGGAGTCATCACTTCCAGTGTGATCTACATAAAATAGATCTCAGTGTCCCAGCCGAGGGGTCCTCATCACGTCGATTCCTGGCTTGGTGGGTCAGGTTGTGGACCCCCTAGGTTGACTCTATCTTGGGCCACTTCGGGCAGCCCATCGCGGATTAGGCAAGGACTTCAGAAGACTTGTCGTGCAAGACAAGAAGCTAGGATCATGGAGGATTCTGCCTCCGCCATATGCCAACGACTAGGATCTATACCCCTAGGACCCCAATATGCTATATAAGTCGACGTCCTGGCTCGTACATAGACAACTTACAATACCTTGGTACTTTGCATGTACATTGTACACATTCCAACACAATAAACACAACTAGGACGTAGGGTGTTGTCTCCTCCAGAGAGCCCGAACTTGGGTAAAACCACGCCTCCTGTTACCATCGTGCTAAGTCGCCTGGTTAGGATACCCTACCGGGGGATCTACCAGGTTTAGGTCCGACAATACACAAATGCATAGTTCTAGCTTCAGATCGCCAAGCCACTTCACATTATTTCTATCAATGGGTGAAGCCTGGTACAATATACATAAATACATGCGGCACACATGTATCACACACGCCACCACTGTTCCTCCCCACATGCAGGTTACGGTAAATATGATTAAGGGTCTCCCATGGACGCGATCGATGATTTGTTCTCTGTTTTCCCCCTATCAATTGCTCTAGGAGGGACAATATTACTGTCACCTCTTTACCTCCGCTTCCCACCTTCACACAGATTAAGCAGGGTATCAAGGAGGGAGGTATATTTTTTCACCTCAGTACCTCAGCTCCTCGCTTCATCCGGATAGTAATATCCTTCTTGTCCTAATAGACAAATA